CCTCATTAAATTCTTAATGATATTGAAATTTAGATGACTTTTTAACAGGAAGCTTGTACAGCGGTTGTCAGACACACACACACACACACGTATATGGTCTGTTTACACTTGAGTTCAGTGGCTGTCTTTGGCCGTTCTCCAGTATTAAGCTTGTAAGATGCCATGTGAAATTACACTGCAGACACTGGCATACTGTTAATGGAAATATTTGACAAATTGGGTCACAAAGTACCCAACAAAATGTAAATTAGCCCTTTGGTAGGGCCTCAGGCCATCTGAGTAGATATTAAAACACTGTTAAATAGTTACATAGAAGAATATACGTGACTTTGTTCTGTATAGAGAAAATAATTTAAACCTTTTTAGATAGGAATATGTTTAGTAGTTTTGAAAGAAAGGCCCTGGAAAGGAGAAAGCAGTAAAAAAAAAAGAGAGCATTCGGCCCAATGCTCCCTCTGTAAACCATTACCTACCTCATTTCTCATAATCTTACCTGTGCCCTCACTTAAAGAGATCCACGGTGCCTCTCCATCCCTCAATAAAGGAGTCTGAGTGTGAGGTTCATTTATAAACCGACCATGTTGCAAAATTGATTTAATCCAGACAGATTCCATTAGATTTAAACATAAACTCAGTTAGAGCACTCCATCCCTGCTCCTCAAAGAAGAGTAAAAAACAGGACGGAGTGAAAGAAGTACCATTAACATGGAGAGGTGCATCGTAGCGTTTGAAAGCTTGTTGGAGTGGGATACAGACCAAAGGTTAGTCATTTCCATTTTCATTTAGCAGGCACAGAGAAGAGAGGCCACACAGGACTAGAGCTGCTCAGCTCCACAACCAAATCCATCAGCCTATACATACACATCAGCAAACTAGATAATAAAACAGAAAGGAAAAGAGGACAGACACTGAATGAAAACATATGGCTAGCATAATGTACGTATATGCAAGCCTGCCTGACAGTTCAAGTTGAGGTCTAGGCCTATTTGGGGCCACAAATAGCAGAGTGTATCTGCCTTACTATGCTTTTTACATGGATATTTAAAAAATATGAATCGCATATTTGAAATGACAGTATTGATTTAAATTTACATTAAATAGTGACATGTGAGACATGAATTCACTTGATTCTATAATATTCTGATTTATGTTTAGTTATTTTGCAGTCATTAACTCTTTATCATGTATTCTTAATTACTTCAGTACTTCTGCAATTATATTCTTGGCTCATTCTCAGTTTGAATTTTGGTAGAATAGAAATAATAGAGTCTGTATTGATCTAATGCTACAGTACATTTAATCTACTCAGATTTGCTTTGAATTGTGGTTAATCTCCCTTTTCACAAAAATATTGTGAATTCTTGGTCTGAGAATATTGGTATTGTATAAAAAATATTGCAATACTTTTCTCCTTCCTATTTTTAGCAATATTTAACATTTACATTTTTGCTCATTTTAAATTAAAGGAAATCATAGAGTTTTTATTGACCTATTGCAATTTCACCTATTTAGATTTGCTCCGATTTAAATTGTAGTTAATCAGTTAATCTCAATTTTCTTGAAAATATTGCCAATTCTTGGCATGAAAATATCGGTATAGTATCATGAATTAAAATATTGCTTTATCAATATTTAACATTTACATTTTTAAATACTAATTGGCCAAATTTTTGTATAACAACCATTAAACTGTAAAATTGTCAACTGTCCCTGGCAACAATTTCCTACATAGCTGTGCTATGAATAATTTAACATAAATAATTGCAATGTTATTGCAGTGTGACCCAAGTATCAATGTAATATTGTATCACCAGGTCCCTGGCGATTCCCTTAAAGGAAAAGTTCACCCAAAAGAAAGATGTTTTCAAAGTCAGTGGAGTCCAAACAGCACTGGACTCCTTTGATTTTCATTGTATGAACTGAGACACTGAGACATAAATATCTTATTTTGTGATCCACAGAAGAAAGCATAGGTTTACAACAACATAATAATGAATAGAGATGATACAATTTTCATCTCTTTAAGTAAAGCAAATGTGCTTGAGGTGAACCTTGCGTTGAATTTCTCAGCCGCGTATCATTTACATGTGAAACAAACGTTCCCGTGAGACCTGCACAGACAGTTGTTTTGTCCTCTACTGCCACTGGACATATAAGAAAGAAGAGCTGTGCTTGGGGGCGTCACAGGGTTATGCATTACAGTGTGTGAGCAGTATATATTTTATCTCTATGATATGCATCTGTGTGTGTGTTATTCACCCTCAGCTCTGGCGATGTTTCCCAGAGGATGAAACGCTGTAACTGTCATGATTGACTCTCGGACCAGTTCAACAGACACTTCATTATTCAAGGAGAGAAGCACAGCAAGCCGTTTCCCCTCTCTCTCTCGCGTCCTCATTCCCTCACACCTCTGTTTTTCTGTCTCTGTCTCTCCCTCTCTTCAGCGCCGGCTCTCCAATCTTCCTTGCGCTCAGTTGTTGACAAGCAATTTGAAGTGAGCCTAAAATTAAACTCTATCCTGGCAGTTGGGGGTGCTGGTGAAGAGAGGAGCAGAGATTCCAGCTCCGGCCCTGTGTGTGTGTGTGTGTGCAACCGGCTGGCTGGGCAATTGATGTGATAGTTTTGTGGTGTTGGTTCTTCCCGCCTGCAGAAGCAGGGTGTTGTAGCTGCACTTTAGCTAGATGGCTTCATGCGCATGTTGTTGAAACGCCAGTTCTGTCAAGAGTAATAAGGTACGCGAGTTCAGTGTTTTCAAAATCACTTCGGTTTGGAGGAAAGTTAGACTGAGTGGGGTCGCTTCCAACTTCTGTGGCAGTTCTCGCTTTCAGTCGGTGCTGATTTTAATGAGTTTCAGCCCAACACTTTTGGCTGGTTTTGTAGTCTGAATATTTTAAAGGGGTCATATGATGTTGCTAAAAATAACATTCTTTTGTATATTTGGTGTAATGAAATGTGTTTATGCGGTTTAAGGTTAAAAAACACATTATTTTCCACATACTGTACATTATTGTTTCTCCTCTATGCCCCGCCTGTTTTCACAACGAAACACACAGCGTCTTCACGACATGGCGGCGGCGGTGGCAGCAACAAAAAAGTTACGCCTTCTTTCTTTGCGTATACATTTGGGCGGGTTATGCAGATCTTCCCACATCGTGACGTAGACATGTGGGGGCCTTTTTAAACGAGGTGTTTTAGGAGGGCGTGGATGAGTCTTTGGGTTTGAGACTTTAGTCTTTGCAACTTTAGGGATCTTATCTATTCACGAACAGCTTGTAACACTCCAAAGAGAAAGGAAAACTTGAAATCGCATCATATGACCCCTTTAACATTTATTAGTGTAACAGCTTAAACTGATAGTTCACCCAAAAATGTAAATTCTGTCATGATTTCCTCACCCTTGTGTCATTCCAAACCTGTGTGACTTTCTTCTATTGTGGAACACAAAAGAAAATATTTTGAAAAATGTCTCAATGTTTTTTTTATCCTTACTATGAAAGTCAATGGGATTCAGTGTTGTTTTGAACCACATTGACTTTCATTGTTTCTAAAAACCAGTTAAAACATTCTTCAAAGTATCTTCTTTTATAATAGTCTTTTGTGGGCGTTTGTTGCTTTTGTACGATGTATGTACGGAAAGCCTGAAGGGACAAGCATTATTGTTTTCCTGTCTTGTTTTCTTGCGATCTGTAATTTTCTTGTGACCTCAACATAAGTTGTATTTGCGATGTTGATTTCTCAAGCATTTTCTCAAGCATTACCATGCAGATGTTCCATTCCCTTGAATTGGCTCAAAATGAAAATTAAAACACATGTTCAGAGTCTCTACAGTGTTTAAAACTATAAAGTTGTAGCTTCCTTCACGAATGTCATACAGTTAGAAAAAACAGTACACAATGAAAAACGTTTCAGCTTCAATGAGTTGCTGAAATAAACTACATTTTTCTTATCCATGTTGCAGCAGTATGAGCATAGAAATGGCCACGAAAAAGCAACAGAAAACTTTTATTTAAGAAAACATTTTAATAAAATGATTTTTAAAATGATGAAAGAATTAAGTCATTGTTGTCAAGATCACAAGAGAATCAAATCAGTATCTCCAGAAAACAATTGTTTCATTTCATTCATGTTTCACAGAAAACAAAGACATTTCAATGTCTGACCAAGAACATTTGGTTTAGCCTTGTATGAAAACCATTTTTTGTGGCTTTTAGATGTAGGCTACAGCCTGTGAATGCAATTCTATATTACTAGTTCAAAAGTTTGGGGTCAGTAAGATAGTTTTATTTATATATATATATATATATATATATATTAAGTCTCTTATGTTTACAAAGACACATTTCTTTATTTATTTGATCAAATATACAGTAACATCAATATCATGAAATATTTTTAGAATTTCAGCAGGCATTACTGAAGATCAGTGTCACTTGATCCTTCAGAAATTCTAATATGCTGATATAATATGCTGAAACATTTCTTGTATGGTTCGTTAGGATAGGACAATATTTGGCCGAGATACAACTATTTGAAAATCTGGAATCTGAGGGTGCAAAAAAATCTGAATATTGAGAAAATCGTGTCACTTTTGATCACTTGAACACTTTTTGATATAATGTGCCTTTACTGAATAAAAAGTATTAATTTCTTTAAAAAAATAAATGAATACAAATCTTACTGCCCCCAAACTTTTATTGAAAAATTATGTTTTTAACATTTATTTCAGTGCTGTAAGTGCATTACTGCAAACACATTTGACAGCATGTCACGCCACGGATGCTGTCGATAGAGCTCAAGTTGTATTTAACCCGCAATATTCCTTTAATCTCATATTCCAACTGATCTCTCTTAATCTATTCTTTTTGAGATTTAACCTCTGTGAAAGAGTCATGTAGTCCACTGTCCACCCACTCATTTGAAACGACTGCTGACCGCCTGGGACCGTCCGGATGTCTTCCTTTTAACTAATGTGTCTCTCTCTCTCTCTTCTTCCTCCGCAGATAAACCTGTTCACTTCACACCGGCTCCTCCTCCTGATGGTAAGTCCCATAAGAATTCCCCTGACCGGAGTGTTTTCAACCTGCCCAGATAATGATCTCAGCTCAGGCTTGTTTGCTGTTTGAAGTGGGCGTCCTCGCCGCGTCGCTTCCCACCGCCGGCTTGTGTGTAGCCTGTTAACATGGTCAGCGAGAAGCAGGGAGGGACATCTGCTTTGATGTAGAAATCTCCTGACATCTTGATTTATCTAGACTGGTGGGATGCAGGGTGGCTGACTTCTCGGGCATGCGTCTAAAGTTTTCCCACATCCCCTTGGGACGCAGCTCCGTTTATTACTCAAGCTGATTAGCCGATTGCTTTTGCTAAGTTTATGAATATAAATCTCAATATTAAATGAGGTATTGTTTCTCTAGTTGTCACCATGCACTGAGAGTCATTAATTATACAACAACAATTTATTGGCAAATGGCATATCTCTGCACAGATTAATTGGGAGAAACAGCTGGTTTCCCCACTCTGTTAATGAATATTTATATGCGACAACATGAAATGGGCTTTGGAGGTTACTCCTGAGCTGCTGGCAGTGGAGATGCTTCTCTTTATGAGCTGGAGGGAGCTTCTTTATGGACACCGTCGTAAATACTCCAACAAAATAGCTTCGTGTGTGTGGGTGTAGTTGGTATTAATGCACCGAAATTACATGTGGTATAATTAACTCCAGTGCACACGTGCATACATTTTGAAAGTTTTCAGTGTGATTGTTAGCACCGAACCAGACCTGAATGACCAAAGGAGCAGCAAACAAACCGTAATAATGCTCTGAGAACAATGCTGTGTTCATTTTTACACATTTTTATGATTTGATCATGGCTTTTGTATATTGGTGAAAATGTTCTTTAAATTTAGTCAATATTTAGTCATATTTTATTGACCATTTTAGTCTGGTTATGACATTTAATTTGATAGATCATCAGTGTTATTTTAGTATTATTTAATAGTTTTTAGTATTTTGAATTAGCTTTTATATTTATATTTTTAGTTTACTTTTTAGATTTAGTAATGTGGACTTTTGTATTTTTTTCTTTTTATTTTTTTTTTATACGTCTAATTTTAGTACTTCAATTTAAACTTGATTTCAGTTAGTTGACAAGACAACATTGCTTTTTTGTTGTGTCAGTTTTGCTAATATTTATATTTTATTTTATTTCAGTTTTATTTCAATTAACAAAACCATTTTATAATTTTAGTTAACAATAACAACACTGAACAACGATGACGAGACGAGAATGCAAAAATTAAGCCAAATATTCAAGTATAAATATAATATATAATATGTGTATCTATGTATGTAGACAAATTATAATTATATATTATTT